AGGCACTTTGAGGAGATAAAATTTGCACTTCCCTGAGGGCAGTTAATACACCTGACCTATCATTTTGCTTGTTCAGTGAAGCCAGTGAGTTTGCTATGTTCAGTCTGGTTTAAGATGTGATTCTTCCATATGTGGGATCTATTTTTCTTGTTGTTTATTGCCTGGACATATCCAAAGAGAACAAATTTTAATTGCAGGTTATTGTGCTTGGCTAGCTTGTCAGCTGGTGCACAAAGTCCATCTAATAAAAAAAAGCCTTGAAAATCTTCAGCAAAAGGGAACTAAAGATATACTTGACTGGGCGAGTGTCAGAGCTGTCTCTCACTTAGAGAGAATGAATGTTTGTATAACTTACACCTCTACCCCACACTTCTGAAACACTGCCTATAACAATGACTGACAACCTTCTGGATCTTTAATTTAGTAAAGTTGCACGAAAATTCATGGTAACGTTGTGCCCCAGAATCTGATCCTGAAATGTACATGTTGCACCCAGTGGTAATTTTGTTATCAGTGCCTTCACCTCATTAAGGGAGAAGCAAAAATGAAAATGACAGCAAGCAAAAGAGAAACTAAAAATTACTCACTTAAATTTAAGAAGCTTCCAGGCAGAACCTGAAGGATCAATGAGAAAAAAAAAAAATTCTAGGAAAAAAGGAACAGAAAAAAGTAGAATGATGAAATCCAGGGATAGAGGGAGGGAAAAGAGAGAAGTGGGAAGAGTAGAACAGGAAAGTTGCAAAAGAAAAGCAGAAGCTGCTGTTTTAAAGAAATGGGAAATGTAACTTATGGAAACAAAGCAAAAGAGAGCAGGGAATGGGATTTTTAAAGGAGAGAATAAATGAAGAGTAAATGGATTTAGAGGGATTGTGATGGAGAAGGCAGTAAGGAAAGAAAGGTAAGCTGTGGAGAGAAAAACAAAGAGTAAAATAATTTTATCTTCAGTGTTAAAGAATAAAAGCTGTTAAAATAGAGCACCTATTTCCCTCCACAAGACATGTATTCATCTGCTCATCTGCTTGAGAGGTATTGAATATAAGAGAGTGGCAGGGTTTGCCATACAGTCTCAGTAAGAGTCAGCTCTCTAACCCTGTGATTTTTAACTCCCATTTTTGGACCTTTTAGGTCCATATAGATCCAATCCTTCCAGAGTGAATTTTGTCCTTGCTGCTGTAGGCTTGGAGGTTTATTTACTTATTCACTTTTTGGAGAAACCCTTGGAAGCAGCCCAAAGATGCTCAAAGAGTCCCCCCAGCTGCTGAAAAACTCTGGTCTGGGTGGAGGTGGCTGATGCTACTTCTGCTGCTGACTGCTCCCGTAGTTCAAGCAGCAGCAACCCACATGCTGGAAAAACTAGTCCCGAGTTTCACCCTGGTGTTAGTCCAGTCAGATGGGAAAATAATCTCAAAATTAGTGCATGTTTTGGTGAACACAAAAATAGATTCAGACCTGAAGGTACCACATAGCAAAAATTATGATGAAGGTCAGTGTCCATCATGGAAGTAGAGAGGAATATTTCAGGCAGAGTCAGAAAACCTGATTCTGTGCAGATTTTACCACATGATAATTCTGAATTATGGAAACCTATTTCTCTTATATGTGCTGTGCAGGGAAAGATTTGTCTTGTCAGGGTTACAGTAATTTCAAAACTTTAAACAAGTCAAACCACAAAACACACAGAGAGGCAGGTTTTACTCATGTTATCACTACACATTTCATTTATTTACATCTCATTATATTTTCATCAGACTGAACAGGTTTAATGAAACTGTGTAACCAGAAACCAACACAGGATCTGGATGGGACATGAAGACTTTATTTGTGTTGCTCTGACTGATGTCCTGCAGTAGTATAAGACTGGGGATCTGTTCCTCTGTATAATGGTGTCTGTAGCTCTGACAGCTGTATTTTCATTTTAATCAAACATCCACAGTGTGTGAAGTAGTGTCAAGGGATGTGGAGGCAGGACTTGGTCAGAAAGAGGTAAAGGAAAGTATTCTTTTCTCCACACTGGAGACTTCTGGAGGACTGCAAGGACCACACCGTGGGGTGGTATTCAGCCTGATTTCTCTGCAGAGGGAAAAGAACCCAGTACACATCAGCCTGAGTGCTCAGCTGTGTACCTGGCTTAAGGGAAACAGAAGTTAAGAACATGGATGTTACTTCTGTCAAAAAAAATATGCTGTTGCAGGGGATCTGTCCCCTGCAGTTTGTGAGGAAAGAGAGACATGGATTGGGAAAGGACCAGTAAATGTTCAGGGGGAGGCAAATGAAAGATATTTTATGAGATGGAAAATTAAACTGGCAAGAACATCAGAGCATCTGGTGGCTGTGCTGGGTGTTACTTTAACTTCCTGATAGTCTTAATATTTTTTTTTAATTTTTTTTTTTTTTTTTAACTGGGGTGTGATGCAACTGAGATTAATTTAACTTTGGTTTCAAAAGGGATCTGGATAAAACCTATATGACACAGTGGAGCTGGATTTATTTTTCACTGTGGTTTCATTTTCTTTTTTCACTGAAGAGTTTCAAGCCAGGACATGTTTTAGTGGCCTAATCTCAAATGCGCACAGGAACAATTTCTCTGTTTGCTTTGCAGGGAGGAGCTGGCTCACTTCAGGAGAAGTTCAAGAATGAACACAACTGGTTTGCTGTCAGATTTTAGTGCTGGCTGCAGCTCCTGGGCAGTAATGGGACCAGCATTGTGTAGCAGACTAGTAGATGTCAGTGACCATCCACAACAACATTTGTATTTCCAAGGTACTTCTACCCACATGGAAGGAGAGAGCTGCTTTTTTTCCCATTATTCTGCAACACTGCTCTGTTTAGCTGAAACTACTCTAAATACATTCCTACTTGTGATACAGCTACCTAAATAAATAAGGACAGACAGTTGCTAAATTTCTGTCATAATTGCAGCAGGCACCTGTTCTTGGCCACTAAACCCGATGGTGCTTAAAATTTTCCAACAGACTATCTTTTGGGAAGAAATTTTCCACATTTGGCTTCTGCTTGAGAGGATTTTTTTTTTCTTCTGGGCTTGAGAAAAACGGTGCCAGCTGTCCTTGAGCACAGCATGAATTATAAAATTATGCCTCTGAAGTAGAACTTATTAGGCTGTACCAAGAAGAAACAAAGAGCTTGCTCTAGACCCTTCAAGAACAAAGTTTTTGCCTGGCATTATATTTGACATTGATTTAGCTTGATTAAAAAATGAAGCAATAACTATGTTGTGATAGAGCTAAAAATGATTTATCTATAGGTGAGTGAAAAAGAAAAAAGCTTGCAGCTCACAGGAGCTGTAAATGGAGAGCTGCCAGGTAGGTCAGAGGAGTTTGCTGCTGCCCTCACAAAATGCACTTCTTTGTTTGCAGAGAACAGGGTGCGACTGCACCTTCCACAGGAGGGAAGCCCACATCACTGCTCCAGACTCCTTCCTTTCCCACCACATCAGTACTTTTCTTTCAAGAGCAGGCAACTAAATGTGAAATAGGAGTGTTAATTTTGCAAAGTTACTAGCACTTGGACATTAAAAAAACCCAAGTTTACTACTCCAGACTGTGTGGCCAATATATCTATCTATATCTATAGCTATATCTAATCTATATCATCTATCTATTTTTATATATATACATACACACACACATATGCATCCAGACAACCACGTGCACAGAGAAGGGAGATACAGAGGGACTTCCAAACTACTATTTCTCTATTCTACTAATTCTGTAAACTACTATTCTACTACTAATCTGTATTCTTGACAAAATGCTCCAAGTAATTAAAATATCCCAGAATACACTACTCAAGACTTATTACCTATTATCAAAACTGGCATATTGAACATTATAAAATCAATCAACAATTTGGAGCACTTGATTGGGATATACATTTTATATATTAAGGTATACATTTTTTGTTGGTTTAGTTACAATATACTCAAGCATGAAATATCCTGGTCTTTCCAAGTCAAGTACAGACACTTGAAGACTTGCTTAATAACAAGTTTGCATGTATTAGATATGAATTATTATTGTACTGGATAATCCTATGCATCTGTCTTTGTAAGCTTTCTGTGTCTCCCCCAGCTAAATGGTTTTTTTGGTGTTTTGTTTTTGGGTTTTTTTTGGGTTTTTTTAACATTATATTTTCTAGCACTTTGGAGGCTGTTAGTAGGTAATTTCTGTCTGTTAACAAATCAGAGGGGAAAAAAAGAACTAAACAAAAACCCCTTTACCACAGCCACAACCGTATTTCCCTCTCTGCTGTAGGAATCCCCTGTTTTTTCATGAAATCATAAGGAAATCGCATGTTGCTGTGTTTTAGGAAAAGTTTTTAAAAATACCCTAACAAAATAAACAAAAACCCCAAACAGGGCTATTTTTAGCTTTCTATAATTTAATTAAACGGGTCTTTCCTCCTCAGAGTAAAAACCGGAGCTTTCTTCTTTATGTGAAATGAACTTTTCACTGTCATCTAAAGTAGCGGGGGGGAGGAGGAGAGAGAATGGTGGAAACGGGGGGGGCATGAACAATTTTTTTCCTCTAGAGAAAGATCACACTTTTCAGTCCTTTCGGAAAATACACAATTGCCACCTTTTTTTTCTTTTTTTCTTTATTTTTTTTCTTTTTGTTTTGGTTTTTGTTGTTTTGTCGCTAGAGGGACTTTGATTTATTGTCAGAAGCAAAATGGCCCGGAGAGAGAAACTCTCGGAGTCTTAATAAAAATAAATAAATAAATAAAGGGGAGAGTGGTGAAGAGGGAAGGCGAAGGGGTCTGTCGGGGTGCCGAGGGATGCTGCTCGGCCCGGCCCGGCTCGGTTCGGCGGTGTCGTTCCGTGCCGTTCCGCGCCGTGCGGTGCCGTGCCGTGCCGGCGGGGAAGCCTTGCATCACCGCCACGGCCCGCTTCCCTCCTCCCTCTCTTTCGGGGAGGCTATTAATAGCATGACATCAGCCAGGGACTCGCCGCCAGAGTAAATACCAGCGCTGCCCGCTCGGCTATAAAAGGGGGGTGATGCAACCCGGGCGAGCGGCAGAGGAGCGGGGAGCCGAGGGAGCTGCTCTCCCGCAGGAGGCGGCGGAGCAGCGCGGACCGCAGCGCGGCGGGGCTGCGGAGCCCCTTCCCTCCTGCCGGGAGAGCGGCGGCCGAGGGAGAAAGGTAAGTGGGAGCAGGAGAGGAGCGGTCGGGACTGCCCGTGCCGGCGGGACGGGGAGCTGAGCTCCGGGGAGGCTGTCCCGCCGCGGAGGGATGGATGCCCGCCGGGGGACCCGCGCCGCGCCGCCGGCAAAAGTTTCGCCGCCCCGGCGAAGTCTGGCGCGGCGGTGCCGCCGCCTGCCGTGAGCTCCGGGAGAGCCCCCGGCCCCACCGAGCTCCGCCGGAGCCTCTCGCCCGCCCGGCGGCGCCGGCCCCGCGCCGGCGCTCACATCTGGGGGAACCCCCTGCCCGGGCTGCCGCCAGATGTGAGCGCCGGGAGAGCCCGCCCGTCCCCGGCTGTCCCCGGGCCGGCAGCGCCGCCCGGCACCGCGCGGTGGCGGCCGCGGCGGGGACACGGCCCCGGCACTCCGGGAGCCGCGGGATGCCCGAGCGGAGCGGCCGCGCCCGGCGCTGCGGGCAGCCGGCGGCGGCACCGCGGGCACAGGGACGGGGGAGCTGTGGCGGGACAGCCCAGGCGATGACAAACCCGCACTGCCGCGCGTAGAGTTATCTCCGATATTCCCGTAAACCGACCGGGAACTTCTCGTGACAGCCAGGGATATCCGCTCTCCTTTCTGTCCCGGTGTCTCGGCGCGAGGTAGATAAGTTGCTGAACTGTTGCTGAGCAAATCAGGCGTGACACAACGGACAACTTCTTTCAGAGAACGAGTTTCCTGTTGGAAATCGATTTTCCTCCTAGTAACAGCATTTGGGAAAATGAAAGGCAGCAGAAAATGCTTCGGGAGCGATGTGGGATGTCAGAAAGCTTAAGGTCAACTAGCGTGCACGGAGGTTGTGAACTGTAATTGCTCTTAATGCCGTTTAAGATTAACCTCAGTGGTTATCAAGGTTTATTGCATCAGCACCAGAGGAAAAGGAATTTGTATGAAGAAATAAAACCAAGAAGCACAGTCAGCCATCTGCTGTTAAGCAAGAAAAAACTGAAAGTAGTCACTTTCAATATTAAAATTAAACAAGAATATCCTTAAATAATGGAAGTGCACAGCTAGGAAGCCTGTTTGGATTTTAAAGTCTTGGCAGAGGAGATGTAAAACTCATCGTAGATGAAAAAAATCATCTTCAAAACAACAAACAAAAAGCAGAGGGAGAACGAATGAATAGAGTTGTTTGAACCTACCTGAATTGGGAGGGTAAAACTGTTGGGAATTCCAAAAGTAAGGCTAAGGCAATGAAGCGTTAACTCAGCCTGGGAACAAGCTGTGCCGGTATCAGTGCAGGGCTGAGATCTGTTCAGCACCTCCAGTGGCAGTAACTGCAGAACATGTGCGTGGTCTAACACAGTAAACAGAGATTGTATCAGAAAGGCCACGATGGAATCATGCTCTGAGGCTTAATACTCTTGTTCCTACTGTTTCCCCACCCTTCACAAACCCAGAGGAAATGAGATAGTTCTCTGCATGGCTTATAGATAGAGGGACAATTTGTACAAAAATTGGGACAAGGAAGAGCAACTTGTTGCATATTTTTTAATATAGTAAGATCTGATTTTCCTATTTGTAAAACATTTCTGAAAACTGATTTGTTCCTCGGAAACTGCAAAACATCTACTTTTTGGAGCAATTAGAGGTGCATTTCAGGATGATTCAGGGAGGGCAATGAGCTGTCTGGGCTGGAGAGCAGCAAGTTCCTACAGCCAAGGACACTTTCTCCTGCTCTGGGCACCTGACCACTCCTGTTTTACACACTAGTGACAGGTGGGTGAGAGGACCTGGAGCCATTACAGTAGGGTTTTGGTGGTGTTTGTGGTACACTTACTACTAGCACTAGCTACTAGAAATCCACAATTAACACAACATCTCAGGCACATTCTTGGTTTCCTCTGGTGCTGCTGCTGACCTTAATTAAAAGTTCTCCTAAACTGAAAAATAATTGAATAAACCAACAGAGCTTGAAAATTATTAGCCCAACTAATTATCTTGGAGGCTGGAAAAACAGTTTTACTGTTATTTAAGACTCCTGGTTGGATTGAATTATACAGAATTAACTTTGTTGAATGAAGCCATCACCAGCATTCAAGGACACTGAGTCAGTGAAAATAACTGAAATTTCTGCTGGGGTGAGGGGTTCAGTAATTCCAGTGGCTAATTCTGGAATTAGCCATTTAAATTAGTTGAATGGTTGAATGTTGGTAAATGGTAAATAATAATAATACTTCAGCTGGAAATTAATAAGGCCATTTCTGACTTGCTGGAAAAGAGTAACTGCTAGCTTTCTGAGATTATAGGATTAAACTGTATCAGTACTTTAAGTGTGACTCATGAGCAGGGGCTTTCTGAAGAGAATGACATAAATTTCCCAAGGTCTTTCTGAATAACAAATAGTTCCAAATAATTTCCCCATCTTGAATAAATATGGGTGAAATCCTGGCCCCATTGAGGTCAACCGAAAAAGTCCTTTTGATTTCACTGGGGTCAGGATTTCACCCTGAGACTGGGAAATGTTCAGCTCTTCTGTAGTGACTGGGTGGGGAAGACTGCAGTTGGACCTGATATTTTCCAGCAACAGGCAATTCACACTCCTCTGATTTTTATGTTTGCCTCACAGCAATGAACCAGGTTCTATTCTCATTTGCACCAGTGTGGATTTACAGTGTATTTTTAGATATCTCTGAGCAAATTCTATCTTCTTCTCAAGGCACATGACCCCAAACATTTCTTGCTGGGTTCCAGAAGTAACGTACAGGGACCTGTGCAGTTCTGGGTTGACCATGTGGAAATTTAGCTTACCCACACTGCTGCCCTGAGGCAGCTGTTTGCTTACCTGCACTAAGTTAATTACAATTGACTTTCCTGTAATTATTGTGGTTCTAATCCAGAGTAGATAATTACATACTGTAGTTATCCATACTGCTATTTAAAAAAAACCCCAAAACAACAACAAAACCAAAAATCTACACACCAAAGATAGCTGGAAAACCAACACAGTAAAATCCAATTTAACACAAGTCACTTTGTGAACCAGGGAAGTATTACAATCTGTTTTCCTGTGGATTTGCACCTTTTGTCCCTTGGACCACACACAAAAGGTGCTCAGTTTTCTTCCAGACCTCTTATCTCACCTCTGCTGGGTGAGAGATGGGATGTGACTTGCAGGGATGTGTGCATCAGCTAACCAACTGTGCTTGGATGACTGACTGCTGAGTTTTGCCTCTTTCTCCCTCAGTGGGGCCACCAGTTTTCACAGAGCACAAGGGGTTTCTCTCCCTTCAAAACTGGCTAAAAGTAAATAATAAGAATGACTAAACAGAGAACTGTAAAAAGAGGCTGTTGGATAGGTTTGTTTTCTTCAGAAATCTACTAGAAATGAGGTTTCTCCATGGGTTTACATTTGCATAATTCTCCTAAAGACTCTTCAGTCACACTGTTTTATGTCAGCAGAAGATCCAACCATAAATATTTAAGAATTTCAAGCCTCTCATAGGGGGCACATAAGGACAGTTTCGAATTTTACAAGAGCAAAGGAATGAAAAAAACGGCTTCACATTTTTCATGAGTCAATCCCTCCAACTCAGCCTCTGCTGTGGAGCCACAGAGCATGTAGAGGCTTTTGCCTTTGTGCCAGCTCTTATTGTTAACTATTTTTCAGGAGTTTATAGCCAAATCTACAACTGTGTACAAAATTGAGTGTGATAACTTTGTGACAGATTCTGTTGTGGTTATCAAGTTTCAGCTTCTAGTAGAAGTCATTGAGCTAAGTGTAGCTGAGAACAAGGTATGCTCTGTCCATTTGAAGCTGGAATTTGTGGTGGTATAGCTCTGAAGATGAAGATACTCTCCTTCTATGCTTTAAATAATAATATTACTTATTGGCTTTCTGATTTTTGTTCCTATTTTCTTTCTCTTCCTATTCACTCAATTCTCATTTGCCACACTCTACCACTTTAAACCTTAACAATAGTATACACACTTGCACACAATTTTTAAAATATTAAGTTTCAGAAACACCTAGCAATTTGTCGTGTGCTGATACTATTCTTACTTTTAAATACTAACTTTGACTTAACATAAAGTTGAAGGTTTTTTGAGTGTCCAAATTCTTAACTGCTTGTCTCTGTTGAGAGATTGGGGTAGACTAGGAATGGGGACTGAAGCAATGTAACTACAGTATTATTCACAGTAGGAAATATACCTCTACGAGATATTATTTGCCTTTCTAAAGTTGTTGAAAGACTATCAATATTATCTCTTTTTATCTTTCAGCAAAATGATGGTCCAACACTCAGGCCAGGTATCTGCATTAGAAGTCAGCGCCTCCGCAATTGTTCCCACTTTGTCCCCTGCAGGGTCACTGGGGTTTGATGATTTCACAAATTTAACCCCCCTGGTGAAGGAGGAACTGAGGTTTGCCATTCAGAACAAGCGTCAGTTCCACAGGATGTCTTCCACTTTGGACACAGTGACTGTTTCTGAAAGGCCAGTTGAAACATCAATGCTGAAAACAGAGGTAGGGCTCTTTAAACCGAATTTTGGTGTGAATGATTAATTCTCTAACAAAGTTTTGCCACAAGACCAGTAATTGTATTAACTATAAACAACCCTCTATACATACTTGTTTCCTCTTAAGCCAGCTGCTTGTCTCTCTGTTGAGTACTTCGGGCAAACCCTCTGGTATTTCTCATAGTTGGATATTTGATTTTCAATTATGGACTACAGACAATGTTTTACAGTGATTAGAGCAAGTGCTAAACTGGTTTCCCTGCCCAGTGGTGGCTGAAGTTGGAATAAGTCACTGCTAAAGTTCTGTTTCCCTGAGGACAGTCCAGCAGAACCTGTGGGGGTTAAGACATGGACCTGCTATGTCCACACTATGTTTTTGCTTAAAGATGACACCATCCCTGAAAAACATTGCTCTTTGAGAGTGGAGAAATAGCTTTGGTTAAGGAAACAGTTACACCTTGGTCTGAGCTTCCGCAGGAAACAGAAGTGTGACAGTATTCCCTTTTTGGTGCTGCCTTTAATTCGCTCACTTCTCCCTGACTCACGCATGACACATTCTCCATTCTGTCCCTGTGCCTTTCCTCCTTTTCCTCCCTGGAAAATGGAGCAGAGATGGTGGTGTGGGAGCCTGGGGAGACTCAGTAAGTTTTTTGAGTACCATTGATTTTAAATGAGCCATCGTATAGATTACACACAACCCCGCTCCAGTCAGGTTTTCATTGACAATTCTAATGAAGTTCCTACCCTTGTACTGTATGGCAAACGAGGTCAGAATCACATCTGTATGTAACTCAGGATGTGAGCACTAACAGCACTCTCCATGTTGATTTTAAAAATCCAGAAGTTATTAAAATACAGTTCTCCTGTTTAGAGCATCTTATGGATTGTGTGTATCTGTTTTTGTGGGACAGTTTTCTCCTGAAGAGGATGAAAGAAAAAAGAGAAGAAGGGAGAGGAATAAAATTGCTGCGGCGAAGTGCCGAAACAAAAAGAAGGAAAAAACAGAATGTTTGCAAAAAGTAAGTGACTGGATAGAACTGTTCGCAATCTGCCATCCTGCCAGGATCCAAACAGATAGCATAGGGTACTGACACAGTAGGAAATCACAAAGATGTCCCCCAAGACTCTGTAAACCCTTGAAATCATTAGTTATGAAAAATAAGCATGCCGTATATTAAATCCAGACCTGGTTGAAACTGGCCTAAAATGAAAGCATGGTAGGAGAGAAAAGAGATTACTGCTTCAGTGACCAATATTGTCTATGGGGATAATGTTAATATGAATGTGTACACTGAACACAAAAAGAAGTAAAATCACATTTCGTAAAATATTCACTGTGGAGAGCCCGCAAGCACCTACAAGTAATTTCTGACTTCTTTATGAACAGAGTGGTGTGGTAGCTTGAATTCTCTGTCCTAGGAGCCCAGTCACATCTTCACCTCCTGTGCTGTGATATAATACTCTATTTCAGTGGCACCAAGCCTGTATCTAGGTATACAGGCCTGTATATTCCTATGTCTAGGGGCAGGGAAAAAAAGCTATGTTTGCACTTTGCTAGCTTAACATGGGTTTATAGATATGTGACTTGATGTTCCAGGGAGTTACGAAGCAGCATAGATAATTTTGAGTCAATTTTTGACCCAAAAAGCTCAGAATAATTTTGCAGAAGATAGCAATAATGCTTTGGGTATCTGTCACCATGAATTAATACCAGTTTGAGTTTCACTTTCCAACTTTCATTATGTTCTCTAGAGGCCAAAGGAGATAATTCTCAATCTGGTTTTCAGGCCATTACTGGTTGGGGAATGTAGAATTAGATACAACATACAAAGTTTCATCATTACAGCACACTAAGTACATGTGATTCCTTTCTCTGCCAGCCATACGCTTTCCCACCTATAAAAGACAACAAATATAAGAAAAAAACCCAGCGACTTACTATTTGAATTTCTCAGTGTAAAATTGTGTGTGTCCTTTGTGCTAGGAATCCGAGAAGCTGGAAACCATCAATGCAGAGTTGAAAGCCCAGATTGAGGAGCTGAAGAATGAGAAGCAGCATTTGATATACATGCTCAATCTGCACAGGCCCACGTGTATAGTCCGTGCACAGAACGGAAGGACACCTGAAGATGAAAGAAATCTTTTTATTCAACAGATCAAAGAAGGCACATTACAAGGTTAAGTGATACGGCAAACGTGGAAATATTTAAAATGTTTTTAACAGCTACCAGAATCCGTGGGGGAGTCTGATATAATGTGTAGGATTCTATTAGTCAAGAGCCTTTAGGAAGGGCAGATTGCTTTCATGAGTGGAAAGAATCATTTTGGCTTGGCAGTTATTCTTGCCCTTGGAAGATCTGGTCTCAATCAAATTGAAGAGCCTTCTGCCTCCAATGTAGGGTTTGCACCTGTCATACTTGCTGTTCCTAGGAGCTACAGACAACAGCTTCTGAAGTTTTAGCTCTGCTAGTATACAGTATCTGCACTCACGAGGTTTGTGCTAGAACACTATGACTTCCAGCGATGCACGGGGCACAGACAGCTGTGCTGGATGGACACTGCTCTTCCTTGCTGCTGGTAGGGAAAGAAGACTGAGTATTTTTGAATTTCCAAGAGGATGGTTTCTGGCAGAATGTACTGATGTGTAATGTTGCATTCTAACCTAATACACACACACACACACACACACACACACACAAAAAAAAAAAAAAAAAACAAACAAAAAAACAAAAACAACCCTGTAGTTTCAACCAACCTTTGTCATTTTTTTCACAACACTCATGTGGGTTTTTTCTGTGACTCATCTCAGTGACTGAATTTGAAGGGTCTAGTAAGTGTGACAAAGAATTGTTTCTTGCAAAATATCTAGGTAGCCTAGCTTGTATTTTATGAGCTATCACCCCAGATACTACCCCCTGGGGACTACAATTTTTCCTTGAATTGCTGAAGAGCAGTTTGTATCATCACTTACTGACTTGGTGAATTGAACCCACTGAATTGGAAAAAGGAAACTAACTGTGCAGGGATATTGACAGAGGTTTTGCTCAAGTAAAGAACTGCAGGAGTGAATCCCAGACTCCTGAACCTTGAAAAAAAGAAATATTTTTTAAAATTCATCTAGGATCTAATCCTACAAGGCTTAATTCATGCTATTACCCCTCAGTCACAGTAGAGGTTCCATGGATTTCAGTGGGTCTGCTCATGCAGATAGCTCTTACAGGCATAAGAGCTTGGCAAAGATTTTTCCATCCTGGTCAGGATTACTTCCTTTTGCCAAGTGACTCAGAGGGAAAAATTATGATTGTAGCTACTTTTGTTTTACATTTGAGTGACAACTACAGTCAATCAAAAATGTTACTTAGAATCTAAAGGAGGCAAGAGTTTTGATGCAGTGAATAATTGCTTAATTTTTTTATTAAATACTAACTTTGGATGTTTTTGAACTAGTAGAAGAGCTGCTGGACAAAACAGTTTGAGCTATGAGTGTTGAAATTCTGATGTTTCTGTGAAATTCTCAGATTGTTTATTTCTATAAAATATGCCCTTACAATTTTTTTTGTAAAAGAAAATATTATCCTTATTTATCACTAATATTATAATGAGTAGAGCTAATAAATACTGCGAGCAAGATAAAACTGAAAACACAAGTGTTGCGCTGTCTTTTTACTTTTATCTCTTGGTGTTTAATATTATATATTCCTAAACTTCACCAGTTGTATTTGAGACACCACTATTGAAAACATTTATCCTTCATCTTTTTTGAAGATGAGGCACTGAGTGTCTTGGATGATTGGCTGCAGATATTGTACCTTCCAAGATTCTGTACCTCTATCAGTGGTGTCTGACTGTTCAATGTCACAATTTAAACAAAGCAGAATACAAGTGGAGCTTACAGTGCATAATATTTTACACCAGTTCTGCAGTGTTGAAATTGTGTGTTTGTTCTAAATGCTAAACTTGAAGATACCTCAGCCATGAGCTTCTTACCCTGCAAGTCTCGCATGAGTCCATCACATCTTGTACCTGGTCCTCATATGATTGTTATATTCTGCAACAGAACTACTTAGTACCATTTCCTAAGGTCTGGATATATTGTAATGTCCTATATCACATGTAAAGGGTATGTACTTCATGTATCTGAAAAGTGAATGTATTACAAATATGACATTCTAGGTCCAATTCTCTCTTAAGAATCCATGATCTTTCTGTATATTGGAAGGAGGTTCTATTGACTTCAGTGTGAGTTTTTTTCAGGTCCTGTAAGCAGAGTTTGGAGCCTCTGTGGCAACTTCTCTGGTTTAAAGGGCAAATTCTACATGTAATTGGGCCAGTGTTTACCAGACAACAGATATACATGGAGTGTGTACAATAAACCTGTCAAACGATGTTTGATGATTATTTGACTCCTGTAATGTGGAAATACAAAACCAAGGCATCGCCCCAGGATCGCACACCTTGGCTTTGCTTTTCGCCTCTCAAATACAAGCAGACAGGGCTGTTTGTCTCATAATTGGTTATAAAGTGTTGCCAGAGAGACTGTAATGACAGAATTCATGTGTCTCCCTTAGGGAATTTGTATGGTTGCTTTTAACCATATCACCGGTGACGCAGGCGTCATGCTTTTGTTGCTTGATCTTATTTACTCGGCATGCCAAATGTTAATATGTACCACTACTATTGTCAGAAGATAATCTATTTTTATTTCTTTACATGTGCAGTCATAGCTGCTCTGTACTGCTTTTGTATGTGTGTGTGTGTGTGCGTGCTCCTGCACGCTGCTCTGGAAATGATGGTACTCAGGGTCACTTGACTGTGCCCCGGAAAAGAGTGTTTAAACAGCCACACAGTATGTTGCATGAGTTTTCTCAAAGTATACTTTATTCAGGAGAACCCTTAAAATGCATTAAAAAGCAGTTTGTTTTCTATTCTGAAGTTTGTTTTGATACTTTAATAAAAAAGAATTAATGTATATTTATTCACGTGTCATTTAATCAATTCTACATGTCAAGGTCCAAGAGCAACTTCATTCTCTTGAAACAACACTGAGATATTAAAAAGCAAACACTCTTTACAAGTTTGCAACAATGAACATCTTATAAAGTCAAACTGGTACTGTTCACTGCTTGTCAAGGTGTAAACAAAATTTTGTCTTTGCAGGGTTGATTGTGAATTCTGGGCTAACTACTTATTTGTGGCCTAGAGCTCAGATTAAGGGACTGGAAAATAGAACTTCTGAACCTTTCCTAACTTTGCAACCAACCAGCTGATAGTCTTTTCAACTTTCTGATTCCCTAATGCTTTTGCTACTCTGAAGCCTTAATATTTCTAGATTGCTTTCTATAATTACATGGAAGATACTAAGGAAGTATGGCATGATTAGGGCTTTGGTTTTTTTCTCTGTGTCTGTGTATTGGTGTGTCTGGGGAGAAACATGAGGAAAGATGAACAAAATGTTCCCTCCTGCTTTTCCACAACTGAGTATCTACACACCCAGACAGAAGTCCCTCTGTTTTGACAGCCGGTGGTGTGGACAAAAACTTTTGGCTTCAGTCCATTGCAAGCAGTCATAACTTGTAATGCAGAGGCCAGATAGTAGGCCAGGAGCTCCAGGGATCAGGAAATCCATTGCTCTGTTGCAAAATCCAGTTAAAAATATCATCTGGAAGGAAGATCTAGGTTACTCTGAGCTTGGCAATGTTGAATATTTACTTTCCTTCTTGGTCCATCCATTTACAGTTGTGCAGTCCCCATGAGTATATTCATCCTTTCATGCATTCTCCTATAGCTACTATCAAACTCTGCTTTTGAATACCCACCCAGTACACTAAATTGGATAACTTAAAAATCATCTCCCTGGCCTGGTTTAGAAAACCTTGCCAACAAAATTAAGGCTACAATTTCCTGAACTGGTATTTTGACATTTTTTTTTAAATGGTATGAGTGGAAAGCATGAAACCACCATTGGTCTCTGACATATTCCTAATAGCATAGTTGGTATTCCTTGAGCAATTACATGGCACACCTTCTCCTCAGGTCTTGTTCTAGATGCTAAATCCTCTTTCCAGGCCCATGTAGACCTCAAAGCATGCTAGGCTTTACAATGTATTTTAACAAGGAGCATCTTCTATTTCTTTTCTAGCTCTTTCCCTGATATAAATGAATAAATAGCAATATTAAAGGTAGGTAGAGACAATGATTTATACAAGGCTGGAAATGTTTAATGAAACTGAATGGCAACAAATTTAAATTTACAATAACTTTTCTACCTGGGTCCATTAGAATTTGAAGTTATTGATTAAAGGGATATTTTTTCTAAAGAATCTGGATGATTCATGGATAATGAAAATAAAAGCTTAAAGGGACGGTTTTTCTAAAGAATCTGGATTATTTATGGGTAACGAAAATAAAATACATTGCTGTTTGTCACTAGCAAAATAGTTTTGAAAGTAAAATCTACTTTGTCTTAGGAAATTCTCAAATCCAGGGTGATGACTGTATCTCACATCCATTTTCCTTGGTGGTTTGGTTTCCCCGCCTCCTCCCCTCCAGCACAGTTCTGGTCTAGGTGCAAGTCTCACTCACGCTGGGCATCGCCAGGTTTCCGTGTTTGCCCAGTGCCCCCAGCTGGAGACCTTGAGAATCATCCCGGGATTAAATGTGCAATGATATTAACTAACATAACTACTTTGTAACAGTCTTCATTAGTTTGTAATTGCACCAATAGAATATTTTCATTTCTGTAATAGATGCCATTCCTTTTTAAGTGTAGTTAAGATAATGAGTGACAATAATTTTTAAGAATTCTGTTGTTTAAAATTCATTTCCTTAATGGACACTCTGAGTCAGAACTGCTGACTCTAGGGATAAAAATAGTTATTTGGTAATTTTCAGTGCTATTGCAGATCTTCAAAGCCATCACAGTTAAAAAGAGAATGCACTGGAATCTATTCTTAATACAGCATCAATTCTGGCTGCAAATATTTACTATTGCTGACAGTGATCCATTAACCAAAAAAAAATCCCCAACCTAATGATTTTCAGACTCCAGTGTAAGTGTACTAGAGCTGACACTCAGAAAAAATTATTAGATCTATGAAATGAATAAATAGAAAATTGAAACAAACCAAGACAGTTAAAGCTGGAATACTTATCCTCCTTTGAGAATTTAGCATCTTTATATTTGTAGACTCCACCTCAATAAGTTGTGCACAACCATGCCCACTTGGTGGGAATGCCCACGCAGCAAATAGCAGTGAGGAATAGCAACATTTTATATCGGCCAGCTCAGAGCTGGGGACATCCCAGCGATGACAGCAAGAATCCCAGCTCAGGCTGGTTGGTGCCAGCCGGAGGATGAGCTCTCCGTGCAGCCGCAGCTCGGGCTGCTGCCGGCGTCTGAGGTGGCTCCTCCAGGGCCAGCTGGGCTCTCGTTCTGCTGCCCAGGTTAGCACATCACGTAGCTGCTGCATTCCAGCTGGGCAGCCCCAGCAGCTCGCTGCCAGGGCCCACCCAGCCCAGCTCTCTTCCTACAGCTCTGATCAAAAGCAGCTGTCCAAGGAAGAATAAGAACAGGGCGAGTATGCTTCCCCTGGGTGCTTTCCCACACCAACTATTTTCAGCTGGTGAGTCACACAAGCTTTCCATGAATTCTTTAGGTAGTACCCTTCCTGTCAAATGTTTTGACAAGTTTCTCATCTACAGTACCAGCATCTGCAGTAAATTCTGGCAGCAAG